TTTCACTAAACAACATCGAAATATATAGAGCTAATAAAACGTTGAATTTGACACTTGGAAATTCATGGTAGTACTTCCATACAAATTGACTGAAATTAAAATTGGTCCTAATAAATAGGTCCTGCTGTGCAGTGTTTTATGTAACACCAAGATAGACCCAAAAAATGTAGTCAAGAACCCATTAAAATAAAAAATAATGTCAGAGAGTGATCCCGAATCTCAACAACTACGAGAAAGAAAGAAATTAGGTAGGAGGTGGTATTTGTGATAAGGGTGGGGAGTATAAGGATAAGGGATGTGTGCTGATGAAAGAGAAGTCTTTAGAAAGTTAGTAATTGGGTCCAGATATATAGTACAGCAGGTAGGGTGTTTGTCTTGCACACGGCCAACCCAGGTTCAATTCCTGGCATCCCCAAGCAACAACAGGAATAATTCCTGAGTGCAAAGGCCGGAGTAATCCCTGAGCATCGCTGGGTGTGACCCCTCCCCCAAAAAGAAGTTAGTACTTGACATATAGATGTGGGGGGTTAATGGAATGTTCAGTGCTTATGTATAAGAATTTTTAAATCCTGCTACATCTTCTCTCTACTACCATCAAAGATATTAGTCTCCTCCAGTGGGAAAATAGAAAACATTGTTAAGAAAATGGGACTGTTTTCTTAGTTTCTAAAGAACTTTTCTTACCAGTGGAAAGATAAGAAAAGTTCAACTTTGTCTCAGTTCAAAAATTTGGCTGAATTCCTGCCCATAATTGCAGGAATGAATTAAAGAAATGATGGCTATTTTCAATAATCACCATCAACCTAACTACTATGAAAATCATAGTATTTTCAAAATTCTTCAGGAAATTAGAAAGTGCTTTGGGGCTGGAGCAATAGCACAGGTAGGACATTTGCCTTGCATGCAGCTGACCTGGGTTCGATTCCCAGCATCCCATATAGTCCCCCAAGCACTGCCACGAGTAGCTCCTGAATACATAAGCCAGGAGTAACCACAGTGCATTGCCGAGTGTGACCCAAAAATAAAAAAAAAAAAAGAAGAAAAAAGAAAGTACTTTATCATTTTGTAGGAGAGGAAAAGCAGCAACAGGATGCTATTTTTTTCTAATTTTTTAAAAATATGGATCACTCCTATTATCTACATTAAGTATTTTAATTTTTCCAATATTATCTCTATTTGGAGGGTAAAGGTACTCTCTACCCTCTCTACCCGACCAGGGCTCTGGCAGCCGAAGACCTCCTAAGTTGTCATATAAATGAATAAGTATTTACAAAGATATTAGCACTACCTTGCACATAAGCAGTAAGTTATGTGGGGAAAGATGACACAAAGGTCTCTTCCATTCATCTCTCTCAAATCCATGAGTAAAATTTCTTGGGCATTTAACTTGTTATTAAGTTTACAACCACCAGAAAAATGCAGATTTCTACAAAAAGTTGATAAGGTCAATGAAATATGACTTGAAATTTCTTAAAGCTAAAATATTCCCACCAATATACAAAGGTTAGTAAAGTCTGCTTGCCTTTTATCCAGCCAACTCAGTACTCTCTTCCACAGTTTTTATATTTAGCTGGCCATGGTCCTTCACTTGTCCTCTTATTAAAACTAGATTTTTTTCTATGTGAATATTTGGTGGATATTCTATTCTTAAGGAATATTGGGTTAAGTCATTGGAAAAACATTTGTATTGGTTAGTTCATTGTTAGTATAAAATCTGACAAATTCAAATATTACATAATTAGATGATCTTTTTATAAATTCTATGCTAATGGGACTGGTGTCATAACACAGTGGGTAGGGTGTTTGCTTTGCACATGGCTGACCCGGGTTTGATTCCTCTGAGCTTCTCAGAGAGCCCGGCAAGCTACAGAGAGTATCATGCCCGCACGGCAAAGCCTGCAAGCTACCTGTGACATATTGGATATGCCAAAAACAGTAACAACAAGTCTTACAATGGAGACATTACTGGTGTCTGCTTAAGCAAATCTACGAACAACAGGACAATGCTACTATGCTAATGATATTTTTGCTATTATTCTTATTACTTATGTTGGAAGAAAGTCAAAGTTGCTGTAAACAATTATTTTTCAGAGGCCATCAAAAATGAGATAGAATTAAAATTTATATATTTTTAGGGGAATTGATATTAGAGAGAATGGCTTAAAATATGATATTAAAATGAAATTCAGGACTCTAACTTGAAATGGAGAAAATATTAAAATTAAACTAATTAGGGATGATTGAAAGGTTTTTGGGCCTTTTTTTTTTTGAGGGGTCATATTCATCGGTAATCAGTGATTATTTCTGGCTCTGTGCTCAGGGATCACTCTTGGCATGACTTGGGGGAAACATCTGAAATGCTGGATTCAACCCAAGTTGGTCACATGCATCGCTCTTCCTGCTACACTATCTCTCCAGCCCCAGGATGATTGTGATGTTTAAACAAAATAATCCACTTAAATACAAAACAATACTTGTCCTTCAAGATATGTTTACTAGTTCTGTTGAAACTACTACTTTGTTCTAGATCATTTTATTTTTATTTTTCTAGTTTTTTTTATTGAATTACTATGAGATAGACTCTTACAAAGATGTTTTTATGATTCTTAGTCACACAGTATTTTAAGACCAATCCCTCCATCAGTGTACATTTTCCAGTACCAGTTCCCAGGTTCCCTCTCCGACCCCCTACCTCTGCCTCTATGGCAGCACTTTTTTCTAGATCATTTTTTTTATCAGTAAATAATGTGAATAAATGTAAGCTAAAGAATTTACTGTTTATATTTTACAATGTTGTCATCTCAAAGTTGATCTTAGAATTTTTTTTCTAGTGGCCCCCTTCTTGGTTGAGATAGGAGATTATTTTACTAGAAACGGCAACTGCCACTGTTCCCCCACTATTTATCGATTTGCTCGAGCAAGCACCAGTAATATCTCCATTGTGAGTCTTCTTGTTACTGTTTTTGGCATATTGAATATGCCACGAGGAGCTTGCCAGGCTATGCCTACAGGCAGGATACTCTTGGTAGCTTGCCGGGCGCTCTGAGAGGGATGAAGGAATTGAACCCAGGTCAGTTGCATGCAAGGTAAATGCCCTACCCGCTGTGCTATCACTCCAGCCCACATTATTCCCAGAACTTTGGCTATTATTTAAATAGATAACTTAAAAACTGTCACTGTCACTGTCCTCCCGTTGTTCATCTATTTGCTTGAGCAGGTCCAGTAACATCTCCATTGTGACACTTGTTACTGTGTTTGGTATATCAAATACATCACGGAAAAGCACCTTAAAATATTGTACCCTGGTTCTATGCTATCCAAATTCTTTAGAGAAGGAAATGATTAGATTGAAAGTGTTAAGTTTGACCAATGTGACTGAGCACTGACTCAACCATAAAAAGGAAAACTCAATCAAGTGTGAAGCAATTGAAAAAAGAAAAATGAAAATTTTGTGGGAAGAAATTAGTTCACTGTGAAACTAATATTATATATACGATGATCTCCTCTCTTATTTATCCTATATATGTTTTCTATCCAAATATGTTGTCTTTCTCTATTAGCTGAGGCCTTTGTGTTTATCTGCATGTCAGTGCTTGCTTTTCCACAGAAGTATAGTAATTGGAAATTTTAGAGATCTTAAGAGTAAAAGATGTCGTGTGTGAATATTCTTTCCATCGGGGGCAGAGATAGAACCGCAAGAAGAATTCTAAAAATGACCGGAGGGCTGCTAGCTCACTCTGGCAGGGTAGCATGGAGAAGCGAATCATCCCTCAGCCCCTTTTATTTACTATCCTAAGTACACACATCTAATGCACTCAGTAAAAAGAAAGCTTTAAGGGGGTAAAGGGGTTACAGGAGAGACATCAAGACATCAAGGCTACATTGTTCTGGCACCAATGGCCAGAGCATCCAAGGAGGAATGCAAAGCCAAGCAGCCTGGCACCATGAGCTACAGTCCCTTGCACCTGGAGTGAGAAGGAGATGTGAGAGTATGTCTGCATTCTTAAGCCAAGCCTGGTTAGGGATCTCTGAGAGATGGAAGATCGCCCTATGTAACACTAAAAGCTAAAAGGCAGCTAGGGAAGAGATGTTAACCCTACCCACACAGTCTGGACACAGGAGTCAAGGCTTGCCCATTTGCATGGGGCCTGTTTCTGCCCGCTTGCTGGGCATTCTCCATGGGTTCATCCTAACAGTCTGGTTGGACACCAACAAAAAGAGTTCAGCTGCAGTGAAGTGGGTATGGTTCTGTTGGCATGTACTATTAAACAATTCTGCTGTGTCCCCAGTGATCAAGAAATGCATGCGACCATTTGATCAATGGGAAGAAGAAATAAATTTGTACTTAATTCTCTGTAGATCTATAATATCAATAGACATATAAAATGAAAAGTCCAATAAAAATTTGAAGTTAGTTGTTTGCAAAGAGAAAGAGAGAATCTCTTAAGATTCATTAAAGAAATAACACACAGTTGTTCTAAAACATACTATCCTTATGGGAATAACAAATGGTCAAAGACAATAGATTCTGATAATTTGTTTATAGAATTGAGTTTATCAAAAAGAAAGTGGGGAAAATAGAAGGGTTCCCTAAGACAATGTTGGAGGGTGCACTTTACTCTGGTGGAGGGTGATGAAGCTAGACCATTGTATTATACTGTTATATTAATCCTGTCATTAACAGTAAAACATGTTGTTTCAAATAAAAATAAATAACAAAAGCATAATATCCTATACTTATTTATTTTCCTCTATCCCACAGGTCATACGACATAAATAAAATTACATCTGAATTATAGAATCCAATAAGATGAATCCAATAAGGGAAAACTTGTCACTTCAAATTAAATGAAGGTGAGCCTATTCAAAGTGCATAACTAAAAATAATAAATGTTGTAGGATTACTTCCCTCATTCAGAGTAGAGGTGACTGAGTGTCTTATGGAAGTGACAGTTTTGATTCTGACAGAACACTTAATGTTTATATTCTGTAGAGATTACCTGTCCCAGGGATTGCCAGTCCAAACTGGCACTGCCGATATAAATGTGCTGTTTGTCCACAATCCAGAAGGAGGACTGCAGCCTGCCCTTGTTGTAGGCGGTCATGTTCATGTAGGTCACCTCAGCTCCTGGGGGTTCAAGGAGATCCCAGTCAGCCTCTGGTAAAGGCCCAGAACATGCAATCAGTCATCTTTCAGCAGAATACTCATTGGACGCAATTGGCATTTGGGAAGTTATGTTATCTTGGTGCGAAAAAGCCCGTAAGGAGTTACTTTCTCTTCATCTAGTAGACACACATGTACATACATGCCTTTTCCCTTAACATATGCAGGAGAGACTCTTTTTAATGACTTCTCAATTCAGATTTGATTCAAATCCCAGCTCCATCTTTCATCATCTGAACAGTGAGCTAGGTATACCATTTAAAACAAAAAACTTTTGTACAATTTTGAAATCAATGAAATGATTGCCATGTTTAATCATTCAGCTCTCTCAATTAGGAGAAAAAAGAAAATAAATTTATATTATATTTTCTATAAATTATTTTTACTTTTTATTCTGTTTCTTATCTCTTTATCTTTGTTGTTCCTTTCTTTATTTATTTTCAGTTTGGTTTCTTCCTGGATTTTCTTTATGTTTGTTCTTAATATAAGCAACGGTTATTTAAGACTTACAGAAATGCAACTTACAATGGTCTAACAATAGTCTAAAACACATTATAAGATTTGAATTTAAGCAACTCTTTTATGCATGCTAAGCACAATCATCAATAATCATCAGGACAACACATTTATATCTTCTTAAAAACTGCTGATAGTCTATTGAATACAGGGTCATTTAAATTTATGCAAAAGGACCATTTCTTTAAAAATACATCTATATGCTTATATTTAATTAATCTCAATACTCTGTCAATAAAATTCAATATTAATAACAGAACATATTCTGGTAGACCACTTCATTGTAGGAATCTTCATTTGAGAAAAATAGTATCATCTGCATAAGGATACATTAAGAACTATATCAAGAAATGGAAGAAGAGTGATTTACACTATAAAGTTAGTCTATAATTTAAGGAATTATAAACTACATGTATCTGTGCTTCTATGGAAGAAAGATGAAGAGAGGTAAGATGAAGAAAGATGTGTGAAGAGAATTTCTGAGAGGAATCCAGGCATATATTTACCAGGATGGAGAAAGTTATTCCAGAAGTGAGGGGACATGTTCTCAGTTCCAGCAATTCTGGAATAATAACATGCAAGGAATAGTTACAATCTGTCCCCTACACCGGACCTCAAGAGAAACAGTTGGAAATAGCAGAACCTGAATATTCAAAGTGGGTAGTCTCTACATAAATAGGAAAAAGACCCAAATCTGCAGGAAACTAAGTGGATGAAAAGCAGCATGAGTTTCAGAAGCCTGCACCAGTTTACTGGACACTGTAGCAAAACACTAAGAACTAGTTTAAACCACCTAAAACGACTTAAACAGAATCTCAATGATAGAGGTTGGAAGTTCAAAATTAAGTCATTGATAGACTCTTCTTCATTTGAAACATGCAGGAATGAATCTTTCTTTGCCTCTTTCTAGCCTTAATCTTCAGCATTGTTATGATCTCTGTTGTTTTTGGCTTAGTCTCACTACATATTCCTATTCTATTCTATTCTTAAAGGACAAATAGTCATGTTGGAGATGAATATATGCATCTTATTTAAACTAATCACATCTTCAATGACCTTATTCCAAATAAGATTTTTAGCAATTTTTTTGAAGGGACAAATTTCACATATTCAACCTATATCAGATTTAGGTTACTTTAGCTGCCTAGGCCTTTCCATAGCACTAAGTGAACTAGCACTAAAGAAAGCATCTTATCCTATACTTCCAGGTGAGATCAGTTTCAACTGAGATCGCTTGCCCTATTTGAAATAGGTGATAGAACCCCTACTTTCTGACTAGGTCCCAGCAGTTTCCACACCTGACCTCCACCATATTCATAGGCCCACATGATAGCTATGGAAGCATGCAGCCAAGTACACAGATATATGAAAGATCTACACAGTAAACTACAACCTAGATTCCTGTCATTTGGTGGAGACTGGCAGAGAAGGAATAGAGCAACACCCTCAGCATCTTCCAAAGGGTTTAACTATAAATAGCCCCAGCACAAAAAAAATACTATAAAACCAATGGGGAAACACATAGAAATTCATTGAGTTTAATGAGTAAAAAAACTAATGGGAGGGCACAAACATCATTTAGCTAGGTAAAACCTCACACAATAATTTTAGTGGCACTAAAGTAAGATTATTTAAAAAGTGCAAAGAAACAACAGCCTAGGTAATCAGCAAAACACAAGTATGTACAAGTGCTGAAATGAGAAAATAAGTAGAAGTTAAGACCATGGTAGGTTATATAAAAAAGATTTTAAAAAATCTGACCAGCAAATTAACAGCAACTGACCAAAAGATCAAAGTATCTTCAAGATGAGATGAGGGAAACTGCTAAAAAAAAAAAAAGATAGGAGCCTGAAAGGAAATGAACAGCACAGCAGAGAACTATGGGATGAGTTCAAGAGGAACAATTTAAGACTCATGAGTTCCTGAAGAACAGGAAGGCAAATGTGATGAAGAAACAATAATTATAGAAGTCACAGATAAGAATTTCCCAGAGTTGAGGAAGACAGACACCAAGATCCAAGAGGCCTGAAGGGTCTCGGCAAAAATACACACAACTAGGAAAACTCCAAGATACACTTTACTCAAAATGACAAAATTGAGAGATAGAGACAGAATATTAAAACAGTAAGATCAAAAAGAACCTTACATACAAAGGAAATCCCAGAAGATCTATAGCAGGTCTACCTGAGACGCTAAGAGACGAAAGTGCATGAAGGTATATAGTATAAAAACTCAACAAAATGAAAACTCTACCCAGCTAGATCATCAAATATATTAAAGAATTGTACAGAGCTTCATGGACAGGCAAAAGCTTAGTGAATTCACAGTATTGATACCACTCTAGCCAGAAATGTTAACGGCTAGGAGAAATTTTTAAAGGACAGGAGAAACTTCCCAACGTGTGGCATTGAGTATGGCACTCACTGTTTATGGTGCGTATGAGTGCTCTCTTTAGATTAAGAAAGGTATGTTTACTTCTGGCTTACGAAGGCATTTTATACATTTCCAATAGTAAAATAGCACAACTTTTATACTGGATCAGTTGTTTTTGAATCCATAGATTCTTTTGCAAACTACTCAATATAGACACTTAAGCAATATAATATAATATTTCCTAATATAAAATCAATATTCTCTTTTTAGGATAAACCACTTTTTACTTTTATAGCTATATCCATATTTTCCAATTTAACTTTTTTAAATTATCTTCATTCTTATTAAATTTTATGTATTCAGACTTTACCTATTTCATGTATACTACAAAATAAAGTAAGATAATTAAAAAATAAAATTTTATGTATGTCAGGGAAGACATAATTACCACAATAAGATCCAAGTACAAAATAAATTTTAATGTAGTACATTTTAGAAGCCATATTGGTTCATCCAAGGAAATAATGACTTTGAACCATCTCTCCTGACTTGTTCATCCCACAGTGTTATGGAACTGCTGTTCAAAGTCATCTACCCTTTACCTATAAAAAATTACTTTTGCATTATTTACCTCAACAAGGTATTCTGATGTGGAATATGGAAGTAACAACTGCTTGCCAAAATACGAAAATAACACAGTAGAGATTCAAAAGAGAGGACTCCATTAGCAATTTTTAGATTGATAAGTCTTCCAGAAACCCTTATCCCAACTATGGGACAATTTGGTGACCAGAGGAAACCTGAGAGCAGACCAAATTTAGGCAAGATAGTGGAACCTGTGGCAACCTGGAAAGATGATTCTCCTTAAGAATCCTAGAGTGCAGGCCATAGGCTGAGCAGTGCCTCACCCTCTTACCCTGTTGCTCACCATTTAAGTATCCTTTACAAAATAAGTCTCTTGCTCTGTCAATATGTGAGTCTGTTCAGGCAAATATATTCTTTAATTTTTTTTAAAAAATTATTGAATCACCATGGGATAAACACTTGCAAAGTTGTTGATGATTGGGTTTCAGTTATAGAGTGTTCCAACACTATGCCTTCATCAGTGTAAGTTTCACCTACACCAATGTCCCCATTTTCTTTCCTCCACCCCCACCCTCCATCTGCCTTTGTGGCAGACACTTTTCTTCCCTCTTTCTTCCTGCCCCCCTTCCCTATACTTCTTAGGTACTGTGCTTTGTAATACTTTGTAATGCTGTTACTGTTACTGAAAAGGTATTATGTATATCACTTTACCCTCTTTCAGCATTCAGTTCTTGTCCAGAATCAGTATTTCCAACTATCACTGTAATAACGGTCCCTTCTTTGTCATAACTTCCCCATGTTGATCCACTTCTATGCAAATTTCATGACTTCATCTTTTCTAACAGTTGTATGGTATTCCACTGTGTATGTAGACATACAAAATTTTCTTTAACCAGTCATCTGTTCTCAGGCACTTGGGTTTTTTCCCCAGATTCTGGCTATTGTAAATAGTGCTGCAATAAACATACAAGTGCAGATGTCATTTTTACTGTATTTTTGCATCTCTGGGTTATATTTCCAGAAATGATATTGCTGGGTCAAATAAAAGGCCCTCCCGTTGATCATCAATTTGCTCGAGCGGGCCCAGTAACGTCTCCATTGGAGACTTTGTTGTTACTGTGTTTGGCATATCGATACATCACGGGTGGCTTGCCAGGCTCTGCCGTGTGGGCGAGATACTCTCAGTAGCTTGCCAGGTTCTCTGAGAGGGGCAGAGGAATCGAACTCGGGTTGGCCATGTTGGCTGCGTGCAAGGCAAACACCCTACCGCTGTGCTATCGCTCCACCCACTGGGTCAAATAGGAGCTCAATTTCTAGTTTTTTGAGAAATGTTCATATTGTTTCCCAAAAAGGCTAGACCAGTCAGCATTCCCACCAGCAATTAAGGAGAGTCCCCTACTCCCCATATCCATGCCAACACTGATTGCTTTTGTTCTTTTGGATGTGTGACAGTCTCTGTGGTGAGAGATGATATCTAATTGTTGTTTTGA